CCCTACACTTAATTCTTTTTTTTTTTTTTTTTTCTCATCTTCTCCGGGATGTGCTTTTGAATTGGCAGCATTAGGTAAAGATGATTTGATCGACCTTCTCCCTGCCAAACCTCTCTCTTGCCCTCCATTAACACACAGAATTGCTCCGAAAGGACTTTGATGTGTCGTTGCTCGTTTAGCTCTCCGAGCCAGTCGCTGTTATCGCGAACCGCTCAGACGCGAGTCTGGTCGTGGCCCCGGGCTTCCCCCCGTCTCCTGCCTGCTGTCTGCCTTTTTGATGTTTTCCCGCTCTTTCTGCTCGTAGGGAGCCGAAGCGAGACAAATACGAGCACACGATCTGTCGAGGTTGTAAATGCAGATCGCTGGGCTTTTTTTTTTTTTCATTGTAGGAAATTTGAGCATGTTTAGTAGAATTGCCTTCGTTTTATCGGGTTTATTTGAACATATTCATCCAAAAAAAAATGAAGTGGGACCTTATGTTTGATTTGATTTCAGTTTTGGCACATAGTTAAATGAAATACAAGAATTTTTCTCCATATTTTCTGCACTAAAGAATTTATTGTGTAGAAACTATGAAGGCAGCACGATTCAATCTGTGTTTAGAAATTTTAAAAAATGTAGTTTGGGCAAGTTGAGTTCATCCTTTAAAGCTATTTCGACAAGTTAAAAACAACTGGAGTGGATGTAATGTAGGCCACAGAGAAAGCAAAATGATGCAGAAACAGAAAGCCTGAGGATAAAAGCAGAAGAAAGGATTTTTTTTTTGACTGTTTTAATACGGATTAAAAAAAGAAACAGATCTGCATGTATTTAGACTAGTTAATCAGTGTTTTGGCAGATGTTTGGGCCGTGTGATGCCCAAATACAAAAGCAGCAGCACAAGGCAGGCAAAGTACAAGAATATTAGCATTTAAATGTCAGAGCAGCATCCTGCTGTTTAGCCGTTTCACAAGTTGTGCAGGATTTAAACAGGAATACATGTGACTTCTTGGGATTTGATACACAGTTTGGTAGGTGCATATAAATTATTGTTGATTCAGTCATAGTGTTCAGCTAAACTACAACTCCCAGCATGCTTTATGTCACCGTACATGTTGTGGTTGATCCTCGACTGTCCGGTTGGTTGGTGACCTCCCCTTCCTTGCTTTTTCCCTGCACTCCTGTTTCCCTTCTCGGCTCTCTGTGACTTCACCGCCTGCAGCTTCAGCAGACTGTTTAGCTCCTCCTCCAGCTCCCCCGCCATCAAGAAGGTGGATTCCCAGTCCAACGTCAAGTACAACAACCCGGGCGGCATGGTGAAGAGGAGCAGCACCTTCTCCCAGTTCCCCACGGAGAAGTCCAAGACGTTCGACTTCCTCAACGAAGAGTGAGTAACGCAGACGGACGGGTTTCACGTTTCGTCGAGGTGGAGGGATTCTAAAAACGATGCTCTTCTTGTAGTAAGGAGCAGTGCAGCTCGCCCTCACGGAAGGAGCAGAAGAGGGCTCAGTACCGACAGATGAAGGCCCACATGCAGAAGGAGGACGGACGAGTCACTGCACACGGATGGAGCCTGCCCAGCAAATACAAGGTGGGAAGTTAGAACAAGAATCAGTGGGTCTGCTCAGTTCAAACACTCTTTGTGGTTTATTTAAATCGTCCGCCAGATGGAGCTCAGCCTCCAAAAGAACCGAATTAAGAGTCTTCACTGTGACTGAAGTGTGGACATGGTTTAAAATTAAAACACAAAAAAACCCATTCAGGTCAGGGCTACACAATCGGTTGTAAAAGGATTCTGACTTTGGCTTCACACAGTTAAATCTTAAATGTTCTCACAGAAAACGCTCTTTTTAAAGTGTGTCTATTCGTGTTTTGGGGACGTTTTTGTTCATATTTAGAACAGAATAGAACTTTATTGATCCCTTTGGTGGAAACCTCAGGGGAACTGCTGCACCAGCAACAACAACACCAACACAACCTCAGCAACAATAGTAATAATAATAACAACAACAACAACAATGGATACAGTAACAAATTGCCAAAGAGCCTAAATAATCCACACAGTCTGGTGATACAGCATGATGCTCTATCTCACCCCAATGTCCTCACCCCTCGCTCCCCACCTCTCCTCGCTTGCTGCTCCTCCCCCTCCCCCTGAGCTCAGAGTTGAACAGTTTGATGGCTCGAGGGACAAAGGACTTCTTGGTCCTGTTGGTTTTGCACCTGGGGAGGAGCAGCCTGTTGCTGAACTGGCTCCTCTGGGCGATGATGACAGTGTGCAGAGGGTGGCTGGCATCGTCCATGATGGCCAGCAGTTTGTTCATTCAGCCTCCAGGAGATGAAAATAACTACTCACTACGATGCAAAGCTCTGGGCATCGGGTAAAATCTGACTACTCAAATGTGAAAGTGCACGAAAAAGAATGACAGAATAAATCAGAACATCAAATAGTTGTGTTGTCATCGTGCAGCCCTGTTTGTTTTACTCACGAGTGCAGCTTTCATGTCCGTCGCTTTGTCTCAAAGCTCTTCACGCTTCCGGTTTTGTCTTTGACTTTTTATTCCTCCTGCAGGTGTCGAACGGAGGACAGGTGGAAAACAAGATGAACTTACCAGTACCGGTTTACTTGAGACCTCTGGATCAGAAAGATGCTTCTATGAAGGTGAGCAACCCGACGGTGCTCCGTGTTACTTGAAATTCTGCAGCACATTAGATATTTATAAGCCGGCTCTGCTCTCCAGCTGTGGTGTGCTGCGGGGGTCAACCTGTCGGGAGGGCGGACGCTGCCGTCGTCGGAGCTCGTTAAGCAGACGAAGGGTTCTCAGAGTAGCCTGGACCAACTGGAGCAGGAGAGTAAGGTGAGCGCTTTGAGGAGGTTTATCCTGAACTTGGAGTCTTGGTTGGCTTTTCTTTTTTTTAAAAGGCTGCTTTTATGTTGAAGGATCAGGAGAAAGGGGAGAAGGAGCTGATTGTTCAGGACGAGGTGACCAGTCGGGTGTGGGTGTGCACCAGCACCCACTCCTCCACCAAAGTCATGGTGCTGGACGCCAGCCAGCCCTCCGACCTGCTCGACAGCTTCTACGCCTGCAACACCCACGTCGTCTGCATCGCCAGCGTGCCAGGTAGGCCGGAGAGGTCACGCCGGGCTGTCGGCTCGGTTCTCAACTTTCAACTCCATTGTCCCGTGAGGGAAGTTTGCTCTGCAGGCAAAACACAGAAACACAGAAAACACCATCAGTCGATCGCATCCAGACACCACACTGGAACAGACAGCACACGACAGCAGAGAAAACAGAACAACCGTCATCCTCCAGAATTCAGGACAGCAATGGCTTGTGTTATAAATGAGTTTTCATCCTGTTGGATCGAGCCTTCGGCAGTCTGAACCTCCTGTCAGAGAGTTCTCGTCTGTGTTTTTAAAGCGTTTGGGTTGTTTTTCAGGTGCGCTGGATTCTGACTATCCGGCAGGGGAGGAGGTACCAAAAGACCTGGAGGCCAGTCAAGGTGACGGCGTGTCGCTGGCGGGTAGCGTGGCCAGCGTGGGCTCCACGGGCAGCGACGGCACCATGGCAGCGGAGGGAACCACCGCCGTGCCCCAGACGGCGAGTTCAGGCGGCGCCGACCAGCCGACCGAGCACAGCGCCGTCTCAGGCTCCGGTAATTCTCTGCTTCCTAAAGCACAACGGGGTCGCTAGCAGCTAGCTAATGTAGCTTCAGGGGCCTTTTACACAAACAAAGACCAGCATCTGGTTTACTGGTGTCATGAAGCTGGTGACAAATCACCACAGGAACGTTTATAAAAAATGTCAATCAGCTGACTACTGACCAACTCCTGCACTACATGAACTACAAATATGGAGATTTACAGCAAAGTGACGCACAATGAAAGAAGCATTTTTAATGTTTCATCTTTAGTAATTATGTCAAAGACAGATAAAAGGTTTGAACCACAATAACAGCCTAATCAGTGGCGATAAAAAAAAGATGCATTTGAGCTGCACCAAGTTGGATTCCTTCTTATTTTAGCTTCGCAGCTCAGGACAATCCAACACTTCATTAATAAGCTCAGTGATGAATTATTAACGTGTCATTTCATCTTCCTGAGATCTCGTTTCATTTCTTCAAGTCTTTTTTTTTTTTTCCTTTTTTCCACACAGAATATGTGCAGAATCACTTCTCATAATTATAAAATGCAAATTATGAAAATAGTGGTGTGAAAAGTACATCTGTGGACACTGACCTCGTCGCTCTCGCCTAAAAAGAAAACCGAGGCAGAGTGGTAAAGGGTTAACGTTACAGACTGAAGCCACGCCTGTGTGATAGCTTCATACCTTTTTGTGTAACTTAAGTTTGTTTGTACTGTAGCCGTGCACACATAGAATTACCAACTAATCGTGCAAACTCTGGCAGGTTAAAAAGTGTGAACATCTTTTTTCAAAATGAATCAACCCAACAACATCTGATGAAATAATAAAAAGCAAGGGGAAGGGGAAGAACAAGTGGAATAAGAGAAAACAGAGGGTAAAACCCTAAACGCAAGGCCAACAATAATATTAATAATGGTAACAGCAAATAAGTTAAATCAGTATGTGAATAAATGAAGGGGAAAAAATAAAATACAATGAACAACAGGCAAAAACAGTAAAAGGAGTGTTTTTGTATTTTTGGGTTTAGAAAACGTCTACTTCTGTCAGGAGAGTTCATTCTAGAGTACAGTACAAAATTAAAGCTAAGTTGGTTTCCTCATTGAAACTGCAGCTACACTGATGCACCAGCTTTATTACAACCGCTACCGCTGCTGCTGCCGAGCTCTTCTACTCCATCTCGTTAAGTCTCAGAACCTGTGCACAGGAAAAATAAGGTCGAGCATTTGATGCAAGCTCACAGAAGAGCATCCCGCGAAGGAACATTTCTGCACAAATTCAGTGCACGAGACTGAGATGAACGCTTGTTCAGTTGACTTCTGAGACTTTGGAGGCAGCTGATTGGTCACTTTCAGCAAACAAACTATACAGTACACCAGAAACGCTTCAGTTGGTGAATGTGTCCAAAATACGAGAGACGCCCCAACGAAGTTATCCGAGATAATACACACTTCTAGTATTGTGGATCAGCTGTAGTACCTGGTTGTGCCACCAGGTGGAGCCTCTTATGGTTCCGTGTCATAGACAGAGAGCACTGTGGGTGATGTTCAGGTCCAGATTCCTACCTGTCTTACTCTCTCAGCCTAGAATCAGGGACACCAGCGGCCCGTTTCCGTTCACAGACGTGTCTAAACCCCTTTAACCCACAGTCGAACTGTCCAGAGAGACGAGTCCAACGGAGGACGGGGTTCCCACGGCGGAGGAGGCGACAGAAGCGACGGAGGCGAACGCTGGCGTGGGCGAAGAGGGCGAGGAGGATCAGGGAGCGGATCAGAACCAGCCGGGGATCTACACGGAGCACGTTTTCACCGACCCGCTGGGAGTCGGACCCACCGACTCGTCTCCCGCTGAAACGCAGAGGTGAGGAGGATTTAATAGGGATGAGACTTTATAGTTTGTGCCAGATGTGGAACACAGAATAGAAACACTTTAGTGATCTCCAGCTGCTGTTACAGTAAAGTCACCACAAATACAAATAAATACAAAATAAAGTACATAAATGAGCAGAAATGTCCAGTAAAGTAAGAATAAATAAGAAATAAGGCAAATAAAGTACAAAATGCACAATGACGTGTAAAATATACTCTGAATAAAAATGTAGTCGAGTGAAAAACGTGCCAAATGTACAAATATACAAAAAAATATACATAGAGATTAAAATTAAAATATCCTGTGAACATCGGTGTACTGTGCAGTATTGCTCAGAAGAAAACAAAATGAGATAATGCAAGAAATGCTAAAAAAGGAAAAAAGTGAACAGATTAAAGTACGATACTTTATTAAAATAAGTAAACTAGAATAAAAGTGGAACAGAAATTTCACACATGATGTATTGCACCTAAAATATGAGATGAAGATGAAACAGTGACAGTGTTGTGCATTAAAAGGGAAATTTTGCACATGTAGTCAAAATGCAGAGTGTTTTAGTGCCAATATTTACTAAAATATACAGTTTTCTTATTTAAAAAAAAAAAAAAAAAGGTTTTAAAAGTGCAACTCAAATATAAAAGTAAGTTCAGATGGAAAACGTAGGTCATGTTTCGCTCATCCTCCCGTTTGGATTTTGAATTTTTAGCAAGTCTGCAGCACAAACACACTGAAAAACAGTCCAAGAGCATATATGTTCTTTTAATAAATCAAATTTCTTCTCTGGTTGGCATCACAAAATGCAAACATGAGGAGAAGAAGAGTCATGAGTCAGGCTTTTTTTTTCTGACGGATGCATTTGAAGGTCTGGCAAAGCTGATTTCTTCTGTGATTCAGGGGCTCTGGGCAGGACGGCGAGCCTTCGCTGCCAGAAGACTCGGATCCGTCAGACGGGGAAGTCCTGAGGATGAGCAGCGCGCTTCCCACCATGTGGCTGGGAGCTCAGAACGGATGGTGAGCAGGACGGCCGCCACCAGAGGGCGCCGTTCCCTCCATAATAAATCATAACAATCTGTCGTTTGACGCTTCCACTGATCTCAGTTGAAATAGTTCGTTTTTTCCTTGTTCAGCCGGCGTTTTATCTGATCAGCTTTTCTTTGTCTCTCACTTTTTGAAGCCTGTACGTCCACTCGTCGGTGGCTCGATGGAGGAAGTGCCTCCACGCCATCAAGCTCAAAGACTCCATCCTCAGCATAGTGTGAGTTCAGCATTCGTGCCGCATTTATTCACTGAGTCGCACACGGTGAAGACGCAATAAAAAGTGTCCGTTGCTCGTTTCCAGGCACGTTAAAGGGAGAGTTCTGGTCGCTTTGGCTGACGGCTCGTTAGCGATCTTCCACAGAGGCATCGGTGAGTCTGTAGCTGGAGAATGTCTTGCTTTATTTTTGCATTTTATTCAGTTTTTTTTGGTATTAATCTGTATAATTATGCATTTTAAGCCTCTTTTTTATGCCTTTTTAACGCCAGAGCTCTTTGTTTCTCCCGAGCAGACAGTCAGTGGGATCTAACCAACTACCACCTGTTGGATCTGGGCCGACCTCACCACTCCATCCGCTGCATGACGGTGGTCCACGACAAGGTCTGGTGCGGCTACAGGAACAAGATCTATGTCATCCAGCCCAAAGCCATGCGGATAGAGGTAACGCTGTCACTACAGTCAATAAGTCTTTTGTCACATGAATAACAGTAATTAAAACTTTGCATTTAACTAAAGTATTTTCACATCATCTCAATCCGTCATCGCCGAGCAGAAGTCGTTCGACGCACATCCTCGCAAGGAGAGTCAGGTCCGGCAGCTGGCCTGGGTCGGAGACGGTATCTGGGTGTCCATCCGGCTGGACTCGACTCTGCGCTTGTTTCACGCCCACACCTACCAGCACCTCCAGGACGTGGACATCGAGCCCTACGTCAGCAAGATGCTCGGTACGCCTCCCAGACGCTCGCAGAAATCCTCACAACTTCTGCCTTGCACTTGATCAGACGACCAGATTTGTCTTGTGCAATAATCCTTGTTCTGCATCAGTGCAGTTTTTAGAACGTCCTGAGCTCCTTTCTTCAGAATGAAACTGAAAGCAACCGTCTGTCGTTCTGCGTTGCAGGTACGGGTAAACTGGGCTTCTCATTCGTCAGAATCACGGCCCTCGTGGTGTCCTGCAGCCGACTGTGGGTGGGAACAGGAAACGGCGTCATCATCTCCATCCCGCTGTCTGAAGGTAGCGCCTACTCTTAAACGTCCGCTTTGGGTGATCCAGAGCTGTAAATCCATAAAATATCCACGTAGCTGTTAGGAATGGTGATGATGAATCCATTCATA